GGGAGAAAAGCTGTTTTCCTTGGGTAAATGCTGGTTTTTTTGGCTGTAAATGCTGTTTTTTGGGTAAATGCTGTTTTTTTTGGGTAAATGCTATTTTTTTTTTGGGAAAGAAGCCCACCTTGGCTCCCCCCACGCTGATGATCCGGTAGACGCCGCGGGTGGCATCGTAGAAGTAGGAGACGGTCAGGGCGTGCTTGCTGGCCGGGATCCAGTTCCTCTTGGTGGCCGGGTCGATCTGGAACACGTGCGCCCTGGTGCTGAAGATCGGCTGCTCCCTGCGCGACAGAAAACGGGCTGAGACCCGCCGGGCACACAGCACACGGCAATTCGGGTGAAAAAAACCCAATTTTGGTTCAAACATCTGGGATTTACGGAATTGCAGGGCTGGGCGTGGGTGGGAGGGTGGAACCGCCACCTTTCCGACCACGCTGCTCCAAAGATCAATCCATCCATCCACCAATCGATCATTTCTCTCCACCCACAGAGAAATACCTAAATATTCCATTTATATGAATTGTGTGGGAACTCTGACTCTCGAGCACGTAAACATCATCAAAAAGCCAAAGAAGTTTTATGAGAATTTGAAAACTTTCAGAAGCACCAGGGAAGAAAACGTAACGCTTTCACAAATCAGGACAACGGTGTTGAATCGTCGTCTGGGAGGGCTGAGGCCTTACCTGAGGGTGAGGGACCAATCCACGCTGAAGTTAGATGCACCAGGGATAATGATCAATGATCAATGACCGTTAATGATTATTAGATGCTTAAGCTGAGGCTAATTGTTGCCTCAGGAGCTCATTTGTAGGAGGAAGCGGAGCAGGGAACGCTTTGGGAGCAGCAGAGTGTAATTAGCACACCCCTTTCTAGCTCGGGCTAATTAGGGAGTGTGTGCCCCTGATTTTAACCCTGTGAGGGCAGGGGGGAGCCAAGGCAAGGGGGAAGTGCAGGGATTTCTGCTGCTCCCTTCCCTGGATCCTGCTCACCCTCCTGGGCTCTGCCAGGGACAGGTCCCGGTGTCCCTGCTGGGCTCTCCGAGACTTTTGGGATTTCTCTCCCTGGCACTCCCCTAAATCCCCGGCACTCCCCTAAATCCCAGCTGCAGAGCCTG